TTTCTGGGTTTAGCCAGCTCCAAAAGAGACGCTGTATCGGCAGATTACAACTGTGATCTTTCTTAGCAAAGATGTAGAAGGAGATCTTACAAATTCCTTTTGATATCAAAACTAAGGATTATGTCGACCACGGTGAGGAGTTTTAACCTCTGGGGGATAAACTCAGGCCATGTGACGGCACAATATCTGTACTTTAGATCTTTTAATTTTTGCTAGACCATAAGATATTCCCCTAACTTTGATTCATTTTTTTTATGGAAAACATGAAATAGTGCAGTAACAAATTCTCTAAGCTTAGAACGTTTATTAACCAATCAAACAAAGCGGATAATGCGCTTTTATATTTCTCGCTGACTCAGAATCCTCCACTGCTGTGTTGCTGGTCAACTCTCCTCTCTTCACACAAGGTTCCACTACTCTTGAATGAGACTTTCCATTAAAAAGGTCTAATTGCCTGCTTTTTAATCAACAAAAATCTATTTAATTTGTTTTTCAAGTGGAAAATGGAGAGGTCTTTGATTGGTTTGTTGCCTGTTAGCACAAAATTAAGTACAAAACAAGAACAACCATGGAGTTTCTCTCTGTGTGCATAAGTCACTTAATCAGTCTTAACTGACAGTCCTGATTATAAAAATTCTCTCTAAATGTGTAAGTTGACTTTCATTAAAAATATAAAATGTGTGTGAAAAAATCAAACCCGAGCAAGACAAATAGTGAGGCTCCGTGTAGCAAATGGCTTGATTTATGGGTCAGTCTCACGTCATCATCAATTACAGCAGAGATAAGTTATGAGTTGTTAGAATATCTTGTCAGCAATTCTGCTGCTGCTGCACTTCCTGTATTTGCTGAAGGCTATACAATGTAGAGAAATGCAGAATAACTTAAACATCCATTAGTAAATTAACTTAAAAATCTGATTATCCACAATGGATCCAGTAAACAGTAATTAGACCAATCCCACTGTCCAATACACTGGAGCTTATTATGCCTTTCACAGCCAGAGTGGAGGTGCTGACGTACAGTATCCAATGAGAAACACACTTGGGGACTAAGTGAGCTAAATTAGCAGCAGATAGCTGCTGTCCCTGCCCGTTTGTGTTACAACAATGAAGCATGTAATTGTTCTGTACACATACACGAAGGCCAACCGCAATATTTACCCTGAAAACACTTCTCCATCGGAAATCTTCCCATGCATGCAGGCACATTCGCTCAGGGCTCTTTTATCGGATGCTGCAAAAAAAATAAATAATAAAAAGCGCTGCGCTGTGTAATTGTTTGTGTACTGCTGGCATGCACTACACAGTCCTTTGCAGGCATGCTCCTGTTAAAGTGAGTTAGTTTTGAAAGCAAGTGAGAGGACGGATCATCATTTTCCCCATGTACCAATATATGTCTGTGACAGGCGACCAACAACTGGACAATTTAGAACAGAGACAGGTGGGCCCTCCCCTAAAGCATGTGTGTATTTTGCAAAGCTCATAACAATAGCGGAAATTCAGAATGGACTATTTCTCCATTCGTCTCGCCATGATACTCACTCTGTTGTGATAAAGGAGTGACGACGGTGTAATGTTTTAATTCAGAACATATTTCCATAAAGACCTTTTGTCTGTAATTTCCATGATCTCAATCTGTCAATCAGCCCTCCTCAGTTATGTGTGCCGCTCTCTGCAGTGGGAGGACCCACTCTCCCTAAAAACATCATTAGTCAGCCCCGCCGTGTAAAGCTATTTCTGACAGCAGCTCATCAAAGGGGCTCCAGGTGAGCGCAGCAAAGGAAACACATGCTCAACCCCTGACCCGCCGCACTGCTGCTATACAGTTCCCCATTGGAGCGAAATGGGACGCCACAGCGGAAAAGGGCAGGCAACAGTGATAAACAGAATAGATTAGTGCACCAAGTCTCATGCGATCATGTGCTGCAGCAGCTGCCCACAGGAGATGGCTGTGCACCTACACATTGCCCTCTGGTGGCTACATGTGCACAAACATAACTGACTGGATGTGCCCTCCTCAGCCTGATTTCAGTCTCAGTGATGCTCCAACTTTTAGTATGACATCAGCATTAAAGTGAACAGATTCATACAGCATCAGATCTGAAATCAGTGGGCTAAATTACTATATTTGATCTTCCCCTGAGTTTTGCTTCAGTCTAAGTAAAGAAATGAGCGCCGTTATCCTTGGCTGGAGACGTCTTGGTTTTCCTTCAGTACAGCACTGGGGACATCTTTGTTCCAGTGTCACTTTGCTGTGAGCCACTCTTATCATACTTCCTGGCTTCTTTCCTGCTCTGGTTCACTCGTTATCCTGTAAAGGACTTTGTGCAATTTGGCTGTGTGAGCACAAACCGAGCATCAGATCGGCACGAAATAGATTTAAAGCCTGAGGTTCTGACATTCTCTAATAGAAAGGCTGGAAATAGCAGAGGCATTTCAGATGAGGGTCTCATAGAAATAGTGTAGTTCCTGCACACGCTGCTGCTTTTCAAAATTATGATCACACACACACAGAGGCCACCATGGTCATACATGTCTCAGTATTCAAATCCCAGTCTCTCTCTCTCTCTCTCTCTCTCTCTCATATATATATATGCAACCTTTATAATAATTAACTATAAATGAAAAGACAACACAACCAAATATATAGAACATGAATTCAAATAAATGCTCATATTTTCCTCATTGTTCACTTTGCAAGTGCAGATATGGTATTGCAGTAAACTATCACCATCTTTGCAGCCAATAAAATTTGAATCGAATTTTGTGATGTAAAAACTAAGTCTTGACTGCTATTAGAAGTAATACTTTGAAATAATTATATATCAGGGAAATGCTGGCCAATGCTCGCCGGTATGACTCTGAGAGGTGAATATCGGCAAACCGAAGAATTGGTCAGGCTCTAATGCAAATCCAGACACTTAAGCCTCCTGACTGTTTCACAGATTCACAGAAAAACTGTGCTTTTAATGCACTTGCTCAAATGACTCACACAATCCTGCCAGACAGTGGTTTTCAGATCAGTTTACAGACAAAACCACGCTCCTGAGTTCGACTCAAAATCACAACGCAAATGATACTTTTGCCGTTTTCAGTGAAGTTCATGCTCAAGGGCATTTTCACATAATTTATTTTGAGTCTAATTAGAACCTTTTTAAATTTAACATTGGCATGCTGAGTTGATTAACACCACCTACACGTGCTAAGCAGTGGGTGACCTCCTGAGAGATACCTGAATGAAACTGATGAAAAACACACCTAGGGTTGAAATGTGAAGCTTTAAATATGGGGAGTATAAAAAGGCTTTTTCACTTCATACGTCTTACGAATGTGATGTACTCAGGGCTCACTTCAGCTCATGCCACAGCACAGGAGGCTCCAGGGTTTCTTAGCTGCCGTAATCATAGTGGGGAGATGGAGAAACTATCTCATTTAGAATTATTACAATGATCCATTTTTTTTGGTTGTATTTGTTTCATTGTATTGATAATTATTTATAATGAACCATGTGGTATATATATATATATATATATATATATATATATATATATATATATATATATATATATATATATATATATATATATATATATATATATAAAATATTCTTCTCCCTAATATCACCACAGCCACCAAAAAATCTTTTTCGTTCGAGTTTTAAAAGAAATGCAAACCATTCTTCAGCTTTGAAAATTAGAGTATTTGATACTTTCCTCTGTCATATCATTGAAAACTGAATATAAAAACGAAGATGGAGTTTCAGTTGACCAAAGCAAGCATTTGACAGTGTCACACTGAACTCTGGGAAGATGCAGTACAGTTTTTTTCAATAAATCCTATAAATTGGGGATTTATTAATAATATGTATCTCCTCAAAAACAATGTACAAAAAACATATCTATGAGTAACATTAGATAATTATTAAATTTTTTAAGTTAAGCAAAAACACAAACAGCAAGATAAGCTATCAGACATCAGCTGCAGCTCAAAACAATTCTGGGAGCCATTAATCACATTTATGAGCAAGCAACTCAAGTTACTCAAAACACAAGCCAACCTATAAATCACAATGAAAGAAGTTTCAGCCCTGAACTCTCAAGAGAGGGGGGCACAATGCACTCTCCTATAGAACATACAGCACATCAAACCTCCTGTATGAGTAAAATTAGATGAAGCTGCCATTAACTGCAAATTAAGAATCAATAATAATTGTACCGCGTGATAAATACATGCCATATGCATAGAGCTATCAAAAACACAGAGGGCACACGTAGCCACAATTTGACAGAGGTAAACATGCAACAGATACGTAACATTTTCAAGGAAGCCACGGCATTTCCTGCAAACCAGTGAAACTTTATATCCATAAAGAACACATTTCCTTTCCCAGGGTGCACTTAGAAAGTCTATTTATCTTAGAAAGCTTCTTAACGTAACAATAAGATGAATAAGAACAGTAATATAATAATAATTCTCGGAAAGATTAGGAAAGCTGTTTCAGTGCTTCTTAACTTATCTCATTCAGCACAAGGTGACACCGGGTCATCCTTGGAATTCAATTTAAAAACTTCTAAAAGGGAAAACGCAAGACAGCTACAATATCAACATCAGTCATTTCAATCCCCTGATTGTGGAATGCACACAAATATTTGAATTGACATTAAGTTAGGGGGGGGAGGGTCTGGGATGCAGACAAATCCAAATATTATCAAAATAACAACAATAACAAGTTTCTGCATATGCTCTATTGTTCTAGATGTGCATCTCTAGTTCTACAGCCTCCAACAGACGGGCCATGTCGGTGGTTTCGAAAGACGATTATTTCACTTTGCATCGAAGTCAAACCTGAGTTGGGCGGATGCAAGGCTCAGCCCCCTGCTGCCCAGTCATAACATTCATCATGGAGCCGAAGCACCGCGGACTAAACAAACAAACACAAATAGACACAAACAAACACCAAGCACACAAACAAACAAACAAACAAACAGGAAGCAGCCTCACCTTCAGCTGTAGGTGTTTCTCTTGTGTCCTCTGAGCAGTAACTGTGCAGAAAGTTCTCCTCCTCCATGTTGTGGCCCGCTGCTGTTAGCATGGCTAGCATTAGCCGCATTCCATCGGTCACTTTGTGTCCGCCGCCCGTAGCGACGTGCTCCTCCACACACCCTCCACACACCCTCCTGCTCCTCCTGCTCCTCCTGCTTCTCCTTCTTCTCATGCTTCTCCTCATTCTCGTGTTTCTCTTGTTTCTCCTGTCGTCTCGGTAAACAAACACTTTTTCACTCCTGTTTATGTTTCGCGATGAATCACATGCACCTGCGAACAGGTGCGCACAGCAAGTGCTCCCCCAGTGGCGGCGGAGGGTACAGCACAGACTGGGCTGCTGTCGTCATCTGTGTCTCGGGACGGTACAGTTTAATATAGCAGCAGCAAAACCCATTCAAAGGAACGATTAGAACCCTAATGAGAATGATTTGCATCAAACGAACGAGCTGGAAATTATAATTCAGCTCTATTTACTGATACTCTGATTATTAGATAATTCATTAAATTATTTCAAAGGCTGAATTACAGTAAATCATTAGATTGTTGTAGTTTAGGAGAGACCTTGTCTGAAAATGCATGCGGTGCTACATTAAATCAGATGTAGTAATATAAATCATGCATAATAATGTGGCATAAACCGTTTTACATCTGCAGTTGTGGTGATATCACTAATATTTTAACAGTGCTTGCTTTATATATATTATATACTTAAAGTATTAAAATTAAAAGTGCTTGCTGACTGTGGCTTATTTCATAATGAAACGGTTTTTTTTAAGGATTGGCCTTGGCTGTGTTTCTCCACTAGTGATGAGGCTGCTGTCGGAGCCGGGGTTTAATGTTACCTGCCTGCTCTGATTGGATCAATGGACCAATTCCCCTCTCATTATTGATTGATTTAAAAAAAAAAAAAAAGAAATTCAACCAAAAATAAAGCCCTGGACAAGATTTAGTGGGGAGAAGAAAGGACAGATATTTGCTGATATAATGAAGTGGAGTAAAAGAATAAAGTACCCGTAAATAAATCGACTTCAGTAAAGTTCGGCTATATGGAGAATGTACTTAAGTACGTTCACTGAGTAAATGTACACTGTTACATTCCACCACTGTGTATTTCCTACTGGGGGGTTTTATTGTTGCTGTTAAAAATCAGGTACCTCAATAAAAGAAGAGAAAAAAAGAACCTCCTCTTAGTCACACTCTTCTCAGTGCCACCCTCAGTAGGATGGATGAGGTCTGCAGCACTGTCTGTATTCGATAGGGATGATGCAGTTTAACACAGTTCCAATACAGAGCATGAAACTGATGGGCTGCGCAGAGAGTTTATAGCCGCTGCTAATTTTCAGCTCTTGTCCCTGGTTGCCCTCTTGTGTGATGTGCCATATCATTTTAAGCTTGGAGGGAGAGCTCAGACTTTCTCAGCCATTCACAAAATGTTAACGTCCATCAGTGGCTCTTTTGTTGCTCCACAAAATGCCTGCGCACAGACCCGCTGGATAACTCAGCTCACAATTGCCCTGGTATTTTTCTGCACTGTTTCCTATTGCAACTTAGATTGCATTGATTGCAGGTCATTCCCTGAGGCTCACGCTCCCTCCACCTGATGGTGCCCAGCCTGGATGAGGTTAGGATGATGATGACATGCATTGTCTTTAATTCCCAAAGTAACACAGATATATTTTTAATGTTATTTATTCATTTGGCAAAATTAAACACCAGCTGTTAAACATCTGTCCACAGAGCACAGAGCCCTGCGGAAAATCCAGGAGCAGTTTTGTTGAATGACTTCCTTTCAGTGGACTCATGGAGACAGTGTTGGAGATAAAATAAGATAAGGTAGACTTTAATAATCCTGGAGGAAATTCTTGTGCCAGCTTGCTACAAGATTACACTGACTGTACAATATACAATAGAGTACGATATTCCAATAGAGAATTAAGTATAAAAAATAAGTGAAAATGAAATGAAAACTATTACTACTAATACGAAACTAAAGTGGTATAAGAAAGAAGTGATGAGAATGATACGAGGACCAAGTAATATGCACATGACATTTAACAAAACATGATGCTTAACACAGTAATATTACTCTTGAAAAATAGTAATACACACAATAGACACATTTCACTGCATTGATAACTTTGCACAACACCTCAAAGCTGTTATCACACGTATTTGATTACCTGACTCCAGTTGTATTGTTTTTATTAACTTCAGTATGAAGTGTAGAGTAATCCAGAATATACACACTTCTTCTTCTCTATGGTTTGTCATACATTAAGTTATGATCTGTACATGTCATGACAGAACTAATGACAGTTACTTCAAGTTCTAAAAACATTTCACACATATATTTTCACTGATATTATTAAAAGTGGATGTGTTGCTGCAAGGGACACCCAAGGCAAATTGTCTCCTCTCCTTTTGTGTTTGTCTTTAATCGATTCCAGACAGAAAATGAATAAAGAGGAAGCGGCCAGTTGTGTGACTGAAACAGATAAAAGTGCCCAAAACAATTGTCATCTTTGCAACTTCCCAAAGTGATGAACATCCTCCTCTCCGCAGCTTCGGCAACAGAACCAAGCGTAATGACATTTTGAGGAAGCGTCAGGTTTTGTTCCTTTTTATTTCATTTGGCTGCTCTGCAAAGGGAGCTGAGCAGGGAGAGAAATGGAGAAAGATGGAGAGAAGTTCATTCCCGCTCATTATCAATGTCAATAAGACGTTCTCTGCAGGGGATTAGAGGACCCTGGCTTGATTTGACGATTGAACTGAGCCGAGAAGGAAAACATCCGATGCTCAGCTCTGTGTATATAAATGATGCTGGGCATGATTTTTTAAGCTGTGAAGGGAGCTAGTTTATTCACTGATAACACAAAATTGACATTAATGAATGTGTTCACAAATGTATTTAAACAGACTAAATTACAAAGTAGGTCATTATTTACTATTTTAGATGGGAATTTTAAGAATCATTTACAATTCAAATATCTATCCATCAATAAATAGTTTAAATAATAATAACAGAAACAACCTAAAACAGTCAATAAGAACACAATTTTTAAAATACATCTGTGAATTCATAAATGAAAATGTAGGCCAGTTAAAACTGTTTAAAAAGAGAAATAAGTAACTGTATTAAAAAATAGATATCTATCATCTTAACCTTTGGTGTTTCGCTTTCAGTTTATATTCTGCATAGACATAGAATTTTAATTGTGTTAATTTTGTGTATAGATTATTCCATCCTTGCTCTCAGGGTCAGCTACCTGAAGAAATGTATCGTTTAAACGGAAGAGAAAATGTATTATATAAATAATATAATCAAATAGAGCAAATAAAAAGCAAACAACCCCCCCCCCACACTAAATACCCACTGTGAAGACACTGCAGAGCCACATCACTGTGCTTTATAGACTTCCATTCACAGTATCCATGGCAACTTGAGCCTTAGAGACTTGCGCCAGGATAAAGGAGGGTCAGGCGTTGCAGAGTTTCTCCATCACGTCCTCGCTGACGTCACTGATTTTCCTCTCACCGTGGTATCCAGTTGATTAGATGAGAGGGGAGGGAGCCCTCCACCCCCACCCCCACACCTCAGGTTCTCCCTGTCATCCTTCAAACAGATTCATATTTGAGTCGATGATTTTGAAGGGTTCGCTTGGATCGGCTGCAATTTTCACGCAGCCCTTTTCAATTTCTGACATCCCAGCGAGTCATATCAGACTAACATGCAGTCTACACATGTAGAAACACACACCTACATCTATAAGTGACTGATGTCTCAGTAGCTCAGACTCCAACAAATCCCTAAAGTGCTTCAGAACGCCCCTTGTTAAATTAGTAGTGGTTTAATTCTCCAGAAACCCCAGGATTTAACTTTGCCCTCATCGTTATTCACATGAAAAATCTGATCAGTCTGAGAGCTAAAGGGTTTAATGTGGGTCAAAAACACAGGCCACCATTATCCATTCTACCACATTATATCTCATCTGTACTCGAGCTGGCGAGTCACATAGTGAAAGAGACAGAACATCTGGTCTGACATGGCACTAAAATAAAGATTGTGAGTGCATTCACGTGTCTACACGAAGGATCCAAAATTCAGACACGCGAATGCACTCACACACTTTTTTTCCTCACATTTGCTGTTTATGAATGAATACACACACACAGGCCAGTGCTGTCCTTGCCCTGCCGTCACCTCTATTGTAGCCGTGAAGCACCAGCTCTCACCACTGAACATCTTGTGTCCGTGTGACAGAAATAGAACGTACACACAGAGCCATTACTTCCACTGAACTAGGCCTCATTTTATAGATGGGGAAATGGTGTGAGAAAATGTTGAACTATGGTAATAATATAATATTTCTTCCTCCTGTAGCAGGATCGATGCAATTTCAGGCTTAATGTTTAAACTAACTGGAGGAAAATGACCACATCTGTCCATTGGAGGTGACCACAGAGGGGTCATATTTTTCTCGCCACTTCGTGAGTATTCAGAATTTCAATTGATTTTTCCTCCACTTTAGTCGAATATGAAAAACCCCAATGACTTCTGGATGGACTGCATGAAGGTCCGAACAGATATTCCACACAAGGTGAATCCATGTGAACTTGGCGATACCCTGGTTGTTCCCTCAGTCGCCACGAGAAGATTCACTTTTTAGCTTCGAAGTATCACAGCAGCTATTGGATAGACGTCGAAGCCATTTGTTACATCCCAGAGGATGAATCGTGATGATCGATGAAGGAGAAAGCAATCTACTTATCTTATGAATTAAAAGATGCACAGTTATGAGATAATGTAAATAAAAACACAATTTTATTCTATTTGTTAAATCTGAGTGCTGATTTACTTTGTCTGGAGCAGAACGTACCATGGAATATATAATCATATTAATATTGCAGTTATACAGTATATTGGACAGATTCAGACTGAGAGAAGGCAGCGGCGGAGAATGACAAAGAGTTGTATATTTAAGCTATAGGTTTAATGGTGATAGCAATAATAACAGTAATTAGTGTTGAGCAGTAGCATCAGATCAGGACCCTGCAGCCCTGGAGATCCTTTCAGAGACAGAGAACATAATAGTTATCTCAGCAGTCTGTGGAATGGCATAGCTCTGCCTCCCATTCTGCTCTTGGAAACTCCGGAAACCTGCATTTTGAGAGTGAAGTGATCTTTTGGGATAATTCACTACCTTGAGATATGGTGGAGCTTGGTTATTAAGGATTTCTATGTCGGGAGAAAGAATGTGAATTCTGTTCTGGATTCAACAGGGAGCCAATGCAGATAACAGACACATGAGAATTTTAATAATCCAGTCGAGATGTAAAAAATGTATGGGTTAGTTTTTCAGAATCCTTTCGAGACACATGTTTTCATAGCTGTCATAATACAGCCATAGTTTTATAGAACAGGAGGCCAAGGTGAGGCCTTTCTATGATTAATTTTGTGCGGAGGTGTTTCAGTAAAATCTTCACGTTACTCACAAAACCCTGTGGAACTCCATGACTAACGTTTGCCTGCCTGGAAGAGTTGTTACTATCATAAACAAACTGGTATCTCTCCACTAGAAGACTCACTTCAATCACAATTAATTGTGAAGATGTCAAAACCACTTTCTTTCCATAGATTATTCACAGAATAATAATTTGGAAATATTTCATCACAACGTTGCTTTGTGATAACAGAATAATTATGTGTTTTGTTGAGATCATAAAACAACTTGACATCACAAGAGGACACAGAGAGGAACAACACACTGAAAGGTTTTAGAAACTCCTAAAGTAACATGGCGATGGGTCACCAAAGGAAAAACTGACTGAAAGCTTTTCGGTTTCGATACAAAATTCAGCTGCACCTTTTACGCTTCGAAACGAATAAGGTCACAAAAAACTCTGGAGTGTTACATTTTATTTGGTCTCATCTCTTTTTTTTTCCACAGGTTAAAACCCATAATAATAGTCAAGAGAAATAAAAACATTTTCACATACTGTATACAGAAATAATCCTCTTGACACACAACAATAAAAACAGTTGATTAGGCCCAGCCCAGTGCGAGATTTCACAAAAATGCAACAATAACGACATTTTTCAAAGCCCGATGACCGCTAAAACTCTAACTCCAAAAGAGCAGAGACAGTTCTGAGAGAGATGTAAAAATGGCTGCCAGGGCAATGCAACAATTGCGTGATCACATCACCTAGGTTGTAATAAAACACACACACAGAAAAAAAGACATGGAAAATGAATCTGCAACAATTATAATTAAAAGCAAATAGATACAAAGACGGAGAGGTCGACTTTGTCCACCACTTAAAGGTAGTGACAAAATCCTCATCTCCCTCAAGCAGTTTTATGCACATAAAAATTCAGTATGGGTGCCCCAAGGGGACATTTGACCGCAATTTAGGTTTGGGATTTTGCAGTTATGTACACACAAAAAAATGATTTCAAGCTCTACCAGGCAAGTCTCTTGAATTTTCTGCTACACAAAAATACTCTGGCATGCAGAGGAATCATATTGATACAGATTTGGTCAAATTCGGAGAACTGGAATGTAAAGTAAACCTGCCTCATGTGAAGCACCCATACAAGCAACTTAAATACTCCAGTGAAAACCTATAAAATGTTTTTGATCATATGAAGCAATCAATCCATCATCCTAATGTAGACTGCGTCCATGGCCATCTATACAGAAAAATATTTTTAATCCAGTGTGTAAAAAGATAGCCATTTATAAATATCCACTTCTCCCATTTATAAATTTTGTAAATGCCCCTAGCTTGCTGGTGGGAAGCTGTCAGAAGGAAAAGCCTTGAGTGGAAGAGATGTGACCGGTGAGTCATGGGGATTTGTACCATCCAAACCATTTAAAATTTCTATTATGGATCATTTAGAGTTCAGTTAGTTAAGCCCCAGCATGAGCACCTTAAAGAGACCACCTACTGTGAAATACCCTCGAGCTGCTGTCAAATACTTTACCTTGAATTATATCTGTGCCTTAAAAGACATTAATCGGGTTAAGTGTCGGCTGTAATCTTAGCACTCTGAAGGTTTATTAGACAGAGCACAGACACTTAGGTCAATTTCATTTCATAGGCATTCAATTGAGTGTAAATAGGCAAAGGCATAAAAACCCAATTTGGACATTTGTTGCTTGCTGACTTCATTGACATGTTTTGTTGATTTACCAAATCTATAAATGCTTTGTCCGCTGAGTTTGCACTTTCAGTATTCTTTCCAAAACAAGTTAATAATTGGACTTGTCTACTTTCCATCACACCAGCATTTCACAACACAAAAAAAATATTAAAATACATCATGGGACAATTTTGAAGAGCGGATGGGGAAAGTGCTCATCAGCTAATGATGTGAGGTGAGTGAAAAGCAGCCTGTAAAATGTCTCTCAGACAAAGCCAGCGTCCCTCCCAGGACTGTAATTAACACAACCAATCATTTGATTCAACCAAAATGTCTGTCACTAACCGACCTTCCTGTCTGCACGCACCCTGCCCGTGCTCTCACTACGCATGAGTCTTCAGCCGAGGAGACATACACCTCTGAAGCTGATGACAGCTAGAAGTTGGTGAAGGAGTCATGGACAAGTCGGCTTCTCGCAATTCAACTGTTTCGGGGGCGTAGCTTTGGCAAGAGGGTCCGTGGGAGGGGAAGAAATGTATCAATTGCATAATAGTGTAGCCAGCTCTTGCTAGCTTTTCCAGTATCACCAGGTTGAGCTTTAAATTTAGATTAAATTGTATTTACATGCCCTACTTTGTGTCAGACCAGAGGCTTCGTAGAACTAGCTTGTGCACCTGATTTGTAGAACAATGTCACATGATTAAGATAAAAGCCATGAATAATAACTATCTGTGAACAATGTCACGCACACAAAAATACAAATCAGTCTACGCAAAGGTTGTTTACTCAGTGCGCTCATTCCACACTAGAAACAGACATTTCGAGAGCGCACACATTCTGTGCAGAACGATCAGCAAGTAATTGAGTGTCAATAGCTAAGCAGAACAATAATCTCGACCATGGGGCTGCTGTACACTGTTGAGAGAAGGGGGGTTGAGTGTGCGGGCCTCGGACTTAATCTCAGAGATAAAATCCATGTTTACTCTCTAAACAGAGTGCCAAGAGCTGTCACTGTGGTCTTGGAAACAAATTGGTCATCCTTTCATAAATCCCATTCATTTAGTTTTCGTTGATACAGAAAAAGAGGACAGCAGATGGTGACCTTGGATGCACAGACAGAAGCGAATTAGAAATAATATTCACTCTTTGAAAGACCGAGGGTTAGCTCGGCACTTTGTGGTGCCTGTTGCAGACATGGCTTTTGTCCACATCCCTATTGGGATATGCAATTCCTGTACAGTCAAAGAAAGGTCATATTTGATCATTTGGTCTCAGCCTGTTAATGCCAAACAAAGGCCTGGACAGGTGCTTTAGTTTCATATGAGCCAGAAAGAGCAATAATGAGTGTCTGGCACCGACGGCTGCCTCTGAGACAGCTGAAATGAGCCTGATAACCAGGTACATTTGTAACATCTACTTAATTGAACAATAGCAAGCAGAGGTGCAACAGGGCGAGAGCCAGTGAAATGTCAGGGCATCTAGTTAGACGTTTCAGAATTTACTCTTCACTGAGCCGCCAAGATGAGACTTCATCAATAAAAATAATGAATCAATACGTGGAGCGCCTTCAGCCTGAGTTTTACCAATCTCCTTGTTGTTCTACAATTTTTCTCAGTAACCACGAAGGAGGGAAGACATGCAATTTGAGAAATACAGAGTCCTGGCTTCGTTGAAGTCGACACCAGAAATGGGCACGTTTACATGCACGCCATGCTCTGTTACTTTCAGTAATCAGAAAAGTTCAGTGATAGTCCAGGAGTTTGAAACTATTCTTTGACATTCAGTTTTTTCAAGGTTCACTAATCCACCCTGGAGCCTGGCGTGTTTACACAGAAGGCTGTGCAGAAACACGATTCAGTCGCTCTCAGTACGAGATCTTCTCCGTTGTTCAAACTGATGGGTTTACACAACACTGCTACGCTCGCTCTGCTGTTGGCTGTTCACTGCAATGATACAGCAGCAGCAGCACATGTCCCTGCTCAATGTAATTTAGAGAAAGGTATTTGCTCCTGCCACCATCGCTCGCCACCATGTTGTCACTGTGACACTGAATGGGTCATATTGATGCATTTATAAACTAGAATTAAATCACAGTATCTGAATTGTGTTGAAGATGTTAAAAAATCTAAAGCCATAACTATACTTTACACCATATTTCCTGATTTACCAAAAATAGACAACGTGCAGTAACAGCTTATCAGACGAGTCAAAATATGACTTAACACATTGACACATAATATTGTTAGGTAAAAGAGTAATACAGGGTGTAAAAATATAAAGCGTTATGTGATAATGTGTAAAACAAATGAGTTTTTTATTGAAATTTTGATCTAAAAATAATGGAGAGCTGACAGCAGGTTTAACAAGTGGATGGTCCTACTTTTAAATATAAGTATATAGTTGAATCAATGCTTTAACCAGGAGGAATAAGATAATTAGTGTCTATGTAAACGTAGCTGCTGTTGACAGTCACTGTAAGATTGAGGTTTGAGTGTAATCCTAATGGATGATGACTGGCAACACTTTTCACTCCTTTACAAAGCCAAGAAATAAGTAGCTTGCGATATGATTTTTTCCCCCATTCATGATAATGGCTCCGAAACACAACTGCCACTAGTTGGGGCCTCTTGGCGTGGTGAGGGCCACAGCCTTGGGTTGCTCCACTGTGCCGTCTCATTAGGTTTTATTCATGCAGTGTATTGACAATTTTCCATTCGCTGATTGAGGCAATGGTCTGAGCTTTGAATTAAGATCATCAAATCATTCCTGCTCCCTGCCGCCCTGCGGAGCTGAGTGTGGATCGCTGGTGGCCAGATATCGCTCTCTCCTGCAGAGAATTCACTTCCATTCTCCCCGGCTGCTTGCTCTAGGGGCGCTGATTTGCAATGACGGATGTGGCAATGCCTCCAAGAGCAGAGAGTCACAAACAACCCATCAGGAGTTCCTTATGGGAGTGCTGGCTGTCAGCTCCGGCAGATGGGTGGCAGCCATGGCTCCTAAATCTGACAGCCAAAACTAAGAATTGCACTTTCCTGTCATATATGTGTTCCAGTCACGTCCAACCAAAAAGAGTTTTGCCAAAATTCTAAAGCATTTCGACATATTTTCATGAACAGGTCATTTTGCCATCAGGAGAGGTTTCTCACCACTTCAAATGAAAAACTTTGAGAAATGATTACCAGAAATAAAAGAATTTCCCCAAATCTGACTACAGACAATAACTTATATGTGAAATCCATGGTGACTGCTGTTATTACAAGTAATATTTCATGTAGTCAGATTCAATGTGCACGCCCCTTGATGGAAAACGGCTTTTTCAACATCCGCTCTGGGGGAAAATTAAAGTGAGCGCTGAGGAACATCCAGACGAGACATGAGTGGCGGTTTAAAGTGGATACTTGACACACACACACTGTATTTGTGACAGAAATAATCAGCCAGACGTTTCAATCACAATTTCCTTTGTGTTGCCTCTTTTTTTTTAGCTCACAGAGCTCTGTTGACAATAACAGCCCTTCGAGCCTAATGACTATCAGAGGATGGCTCTCGTGACTTTGTGTGTTGACACAGAGACGAGTCAATAACTCATCACTTGTCACGTCTATAAAATGGCGTCGAGGACGAGAGCAGAGGACGGTGGGGAACAACGCTGAGAGAGACGACAGCTGAAGTAAACCTTCAACGTTTGCACGACTTTAAAGGAGATCCACACTGCTCGTGTACTTTTGATGGCAGGGGAGACTGAACCAGAGGTCAATATGAAACAGCAGCAAAATGGTGAATGTGGGGGATCCTACCAACTTATATATTTGTTACTAACCCTGTCAAATATTTTACGAATAAATGACGTTCGCAAAGCAACTGCTTGTTTGAGTACACGTTGTTGAATTTAAATACATTATCAAGGTCTAAAGCTTCAAATTACATACTTGGCAACAACTGGCTAAAAGCTCTCTTTAGAGCACCATTTTTTATGTCATAAGAAGAATTTGTACAATTATTGTGTCTTTCTGAAACAGACTCATTTTATAAAGCAGGCGCCAGGTGTGTGGAGGTGGATAAGCAGGCAGCGTATGATCTCTCTCAAACTAAAATAACCCTTGACATTACAAAGGATTTTTAATGTCAATGAATTTTTAATCCTACTTCCATTAGTTTTCAATACGTGCAACCGATTACAGCACCACTAATGCTTTCAGGAGCATTATTTCCTTTTTTTTTTTATTTTGCAAATTAATGACTTTTCACCCCTCTCAACGACAGCAGGCATTTCACCCCCTCTTTGAGTGTGGCCGTACAGAACTTTGACCGTTGTAAGTGGCTGGACTCTACACTGTACGATCTACCTGCCCTGTGTCTTTGTTACCAGTGATAAAGCTTTGGATGTCCAGTAGTAGATGGGACAAACGAGTTAATGTGCAATAGAAATATATATAAAAAAAGCTCCCCTTTCCATCCAAAACAAATCTGATTCCCTCCCAGCATTCCCAGTAAATGGATTGTCCTTGAACGAGTGCCATTTCTTTTTTCTTTTTTTTTCATGGACAGAAACCTGGCTGTTACTGAATTGAATGCTCTGCAGTGTGGCGACGCAGCTGCCGTCCAGAAAAAGCTTCCACAGAGGAAGGAAGCAAAGGAATGGGAGTGAGAAGAAAAAAAGAGTACAGCTATCTACCACATCACCTGAGGGCAAGGGCGCAGAAAAAGGTGAGCGTCCACAGACTAACAAACTTTATGCATTGAAAAAAAAAAAAAAAGTGTGCGGCTTCTGCCGAGATGGAAGCTGATGCAGGAGGCAACAACAATACCTTGTGAGGGGGATGCATGGCATTTACGTAACGTTGAGAAAAATTAATTAAGCAGATATTGGAACGCATTGTTAATTCTCCCTGCTCTTATCAAGGGGCTAATTATCGCTATCAACCTCCTCTATTCATCAGTAGGATTATTAGGCTAATCACAAAGCTTTCCCCCTTTGGAGACGAGGTCTTTCGCTCTTCACCGGAACAAAGCCGTTATTGTCCTCCCATGACACGGTGTCAGTGATGAACCCAATCAAAATTTCTACCTTTTAATGCACCAGTGAAAACATGGGTAACATGACGAGTTGGGGGCCACGTGTAAGTGGGTCTCTTCCAGTTGCTCACATGCTTGACCTACGCCAATTATGTTAATGTTAACGCGCTTGGGAACCGGCTCATTGCCATGAAGGGAAAAAAACAGCCTTGGATGCTGTTATGCATCACACCTCATACATACATTTCCCGAGTGTATTCTCATCTGTTAAGGCTCCTGATGCTAAAAAAATTATTTTAGTACTGACATAATGGTTTAGGATGGATTTCTTTTCTGACCATGGAACTGTGAGGAGAGTTCAGAAGGGCCTATAATCAAGTCGTGCAAAGCCAGCCTTCAACTCACAACCTCTAAGGCATGTTACCAAATCTTAAAAAACTAGTTTGACATTGTCGGAAATTCTCGTTTTGTTGAGTTAGATGTGATACCTCACTCATGTGCATAAGCTAAATATGTCAACAATGTCCAAAAAAACTTTTAAAAGCAGGTTTTGCAGGTATCTATTATATCAATTATAATGCACAGATTTTTTACAAACTTCTAATTTTATTCTCTTGTCTTGGTCTGTATATATATTTCTATTCTTGGCTGCAGCGACTGTAATGAAATCCAATTTCCTCCCAGGGATCAATAAAATATTTCTGATTCTGTTACAGGGTAAAGAAAAACATAAATATTAAATCTTCCAGCTCCCACTTTCTTCAAGACAGATTTTGGTGGATCCATGAGAGATTATGCAACATTTCCAGATCTTGTTTTCCTAGTCAAGGTACTGGATGAAAAGACCAATGATGACCAGGTTAGTGGTGCACTGTGAAATTGTGGGCTGGCTTTGTGAGGCCGCTGCTACTCTGGTGGACTGAATGAAGCGTCCATACTGATGTATTGTAGTATCTGCCAATACTTGTTTTTGGTTGAACCTTCCTCAAGCAACAGACGGGTGGTGGTAAGACAGTCGGGATATTGTCAAACAAGTCAAACAACCACAGAAAAGTATATTAAACTTACGTTTAATAACTGTTGTCCCTCTGTCTTGTCCAGTGTGGCAAACCCACCCATCTGGCACTCTGCGGAGGTAAAAACAACTTATTTGCAGACCCTCTTTGTCCCGGCTCTTACACTGTCACAGTGGCATTCTTTGGCATATGGAGGGAACGCAGAGGGCTCCCCTGTCTTGTTTCCTGTGCTCTGTTGCCTGCCAATGAATCTGTCCAATCCCTGGCATTTCCCGAGGAATGTGACTGGAATGTTATCTGCTTCCAAGTGGAATGCCTGGTTCATGGTTTTGTCTTGGATTTCTTGAGCAGCCTAGAATATTCACTCTGAGTGCTTTCTCCCATAATGCAACAGGGCAGACTGTTTAAAAAAACAACAACAGTAAGCTTTCCTTGAACAATGAGTCTAGACATACATGCACACATGCGCGCACACACATGGAGAAGACATTTTCTTCCACAGCAACACTAAGCTGATTTGCAAATTTAAACCAAATTCAAAGCATCTTCCCTACGCACCAGATTATCCATTCAAGGAACCTTGAAAATATATATTAAAAACACTTCATGAAATAAGGCACTCCAATTTTCCATTGTCCTGAATGCTTTCAGTCTGGAGAGAGGTAGAGGCAGATGAAGCCACGCAAGTCGCTTATCCACCTCTGCATTGTCACAATGCTTCAAAGGTAGGGGGTGATGAAAGCAGGTGATATGAGCGGATGAGTCTGATAGGATCTGAAGATGGGACTAGTGATCTGTGGTCTGCTCCTTCAAAGGGATAGAGAAACAGAGATAGAGAAGGAGAATGAAATGGGCACCAGCTATTGGTTCGACTTTCCTTTAAGATGTAGGACAAAGTAGGGGAAACTGTCCTGGAATGTGTTCCTGTTTTAAAACTGCACTTTTTAACACCCAGAAGTGAGAGGTGGTCACAAGCCACAGACAAGGCCTTGTTTAGAACCGGTCGTCTCTCAGCTGCGTGGGGGACTTGAAAGGCTTGAGCCCCATTGTCCGGCGGGGGTGAGCCCTCTCTTTGGTGCCATCCAGGGGCTTGTTGCAGGCCGCCCAGCCCAGGTCAATCAGGGGCGAGTCGGCTGGGTTGAGGGGGACTATGCGGAATGATGGCAACGTGGGCGAGCCGTTGGTGGAGCACGGGGCAGAGCGGGATGTGGGAAAGGGAGTTGAGAAGGGGTCGAAGGGTGAAGCCGTGTCCGAGCCGCTCAAGGGGTCAGCTTTGAGGGCAAATGGATCACAGTCCGGTGATGGGAACGGGTCACAGTTGGTGAACGGGTTTGTAGGGGAAGGCTGATAGCCCAGGGGGTTGCTGTCCGAGCGGATAGCACTGCGGCCCACACTTGAGTTCACGCCGCCAGTGGAGATGAAGCTCCAGGGGTCGATGCGGGGGCGGATGGGTGACGGGCGGGGCCGGGGGATGACGCTGACCTCCAGGCGGCGGGTTTTGGGGCTCCAGAGAGCAGGGTTTGGGTGGAGAGAATAGGGCACGGAAGGTTTGTCCTCAGAGTCCTGTGTGTCTTGGCACAAGGGCAGGTCCAAAACTGAAAAGAAAAGAAAGACAAATATTAAACGTGAGCATTTTAGAATTACAACTCAACATGGCTGAGGGACTTACGAAAGACAGAATTCAAATACAATAGTCAAAAACGTAGCAGCTGAGGTAGAGATATCCTGAATCTATTTTTTAAAATGCTATATTACACACAATTACCATAATGCAAAGATTCTCCAAAACCACAGAAGACACTAGACAACAGACTCTGCAAGATGAGTAAAAGGACAAAGACTAATATATATGTAAAAGGTTTAAACATTCTACATATTAAACATCGTCATCATCCTTCATGTTCTTGCTTGAGGAGGTTTCTCATTGTTTATCTGGAATGTGCTTTCAAACGGCTGCACGGCTGCACTGCTGCTCCACTGCTCTTTGATGCATTCCTACACCATCTGAATGCAGCATTTGTTCGTGCATAATTCTCGAAAACGCATACTGCAAAAAATATGCGTGATGACATTGATCCAGACAGAAACATGAAAGTGGAAGACTACTGTTGCAAAAAGAAATGGAACAACCACCAGCGCAGAATGTTGATGTAATTAGTCTACACTGCGAACAACATAGTGCCGTGTAACTACATGAGGAGCTGCAAGCAGCAAACAGCAAGTGTAAATTAGCACCGACAAGAACATTAAACGTAGAATAAATCATCTCAAATGAACATTTGCTATGTCCTAAATGTAATGTGTCTGCCAAATGGAATTACTTACATGAACAGCAACATGCAAAATCTATTCAGCTGACAAGACAGTGGAATCAGGAGTCACATGAGAGCAAACCAGTGTAGGATTCCTCTGAATTCATCTCTCTCTTTCAAGCTCACATTCACAGCCAGTAACCTTGTGGCAGTCTGTCAATGCATCTGAGTCATTGCACTCAATAAACGTAATAAGATGCTTAGCTGAAACATTCCCTGTTTAATTAAGTGTGGCTTTTCGCCTCTGTGCGCCCCATGTAATGAGCGCATGCGGTTTGTGAGATCACGGTTGTTGGCGGCGGAGCAGGCGAGATATGTCTGCTCGCTACCTGGGGGCAGCGCTGCGAGAACGGCTCTGTGGAGAATCCGAGGCTTTGTGAGTCAAACGGACCAGATACGGAGTGTGAAATGTTCCCAGGGGGCACTCTTAAAGCCCCTCGTAAAGCCGACTCGCTCTTAAAACAACCGATACCCACGCCTCTGTCGTTACAGCTCTAAACTGTGTCAGTGCTTCTAAGAAACGCATATTAGTCTTTGGGAAAAACATGTGAATGTACTGTAAATGAAAGCAGCTGGTACACAGATAATGTCTGGCAGCACAACACTGTACAAGAATTAAAACAAAAGTATAAATATGCCCCATGAGAATGGAAAGTCGCCTATTTACACATAAGAAGGCGGAAATTAATGCTAATCCCTCTTGAGTGTGCTCTTTTATCATGCGTCACGCATGTATATTTATCACAACATACAACACACATGACATGTCTGGATATGAGCATATTTGCGCTCAATACAACCATAATGCACAGCTGGGCTCCAGCCAAAGACATTGCCGCGTCTGTGTGAATTCAAGAAGATTCAGCAACTCTGAATCCAGCACTTTCGGGCTCTTTGACCTCAGCTGTGCTGCCTCATGTTTCGCTGTCAACTTTGCAATAAAAGAGAATCTCAGACTCTGAGGGAAACAACAGAAGACTGGCAGAAGATTGGATGCTGCCTTTGCTGAGCAAGTATTAGCAGTGAAGTCTGGGGGGCCAGCTGTTACCTGAGATATGCAAATTATCATTCATGGTATAAGTTGGATCCAGTTTCAGTGTAGGGCGTCCTGAAGAAATGTGGTTAAATCATGCTGCTAAATTAAAAAGAAACCAAAGACCCAATCTAGAGAAGAGATGTACTTTCACAAGGTTGTGAGACAAAAGAAAAATGTTCAAAATAAACTTCAAATGACTTCTAGCCCCAGGTATGAGTCAGTGGATTTCTTACACTTTACATATTGCAAGAATCTTTTCCCTTTAAAATTGGTGGAATTATCCCTTTAAGGTAAAAAACTGACCTAGCTGGGAGGTGTGCAGGCTTGGGCTGGACCTCCTCCTCCTGTCAGCTTTGTGATCCCAGGCCTCGCAGACCATCTCCCCGTTGGAAGAATGGGAACTCAGGGTCCATTCCGCTGGGCTGTTCCTGTCGTGCTGCAGGGGGGTCCTGGGGCTCTGCGGACTGTGCGGCGTCCGGTGGCTACTCCTTTCGCGGGGGTTTGGCGGTGGTGGAGTCAGGGGCAAGGGCTTGAGTTCTTGGTACTGCAGAGCTAAATCCAAGAACGGTTTGGGGAGCGGCTCAGAGGTGGAGAAGGAGATAAGGTCGTTCACTACTGGGGGGTCTGAAATGAGGGGCTTAGGGGAGGAGATCTCTAGTTCGAAGGTGGTGCGGTCCTCTAGGGATGGGGGGTTAGTTCGAGGGGGCACCCTTGGGGGCATATCAAGGCAGCGACCCAATCCTATGGAGGCCAGAAGGGAGCCACCGCCGAGCAGGACCCGGTGCGTGCTCTTAATCAGGCCACTGTGGGAACCCCTCTCAGGCCTGGGGGAGCCAGCTGGGGAGGAGCCACCTTCCTCGCTGCCCGAGTCTCCCTGAGGTAGAGGAAGCCGCAGGCTGTTCTTCACTGAGGAGCCTGCCGAGAGAGAAAAATGATTTTTTAAGTTTTAGAAAGACAGAGAAGGAGAAAGAGACAGAAAAAGAACACTCAGTGCATTTATTATTCATTTAATGTCTATTTATAATTCACACTCATGCCAGTGTGAATTATAACACCAGCTAATGGAAGATGCAACTGGCGTTCAGGCAGGTGATGGAGGGCGCCGGTTACCGTTCTGAGCAGAGGGAGGGGTGGGGGTGGAGGGTCTGTACTCCTCAAAGTCATCCTTGGACTCTCCGTTCTCATTGCTGTCTGACCCCAGGAGCTTGGCTCTCATCGAAAGACTGAAAGCGACACAAAATCAAACAACATTGAAGCGTGGTGCTGAACTAAGTTGAGTCCTTGTAAATGTTCACATGTTAAAGAAAATGCTGTACCTGCTTTCCTGCGGACTGAGGCGCAGCACTTTGGGGCTTTTGGGACTTTTCGGGCTCTGGGGCCTCCAGTGGGGGCACAACCTCAGGTCTCCGTTGGATTGTTTGAGAGAGGACGCCTCTAGAGGCCAGACTGGGCTCAGCCCGAACGTCCTGCTGTTGTCACTGGGACTGACTGCAAAGAATAAGGGAGATAAATATAAGCTGGCACATTATCAGTATGCATACCACCCTGCTGTATTCTAATGAGGTGAGTGAGGCATTTTTAAAAAGGCATCTTTCACAACAACAATTAAGGCAGGCCCACACTCGTCTCCAACACGGTGACATTTAACTGACCCCACAGCTACATTTCATGAAACTTCAACGAGTCCCGGTTTCCTCTTAATTTGTGTTATGATGACGTCAATATAAGGGATTTAGTCTAATGGGGATGGTTTACAGAGCAGGAGGTATACGAAGGAGCCTGATACCTCTTTACCAACATTTGCAGGTATGAGAAGGTTTTTTTAAACGCAGGTAAACTTGCTAAAAATTGCCTCCATTCCAAAAAGATTTGAGTCCATTGCTGCTGAACGGAGCTGAAGCCAATAAAAACCTGTGTCTACTGCAGAGTCATTTGACCCAGGAGTGAATGCTGTTTGAATCTATTACCATTGCAGACAACAGCCAGATGTTAGTGGGGTTTTAGACCAATGGCAAAAGGGCTTAATAGAAGATGACAGGAAGTGCAGTGTGCAAATAAAAGCTGTGAATTTCTCTTAACCAGCCCACTGAATGGCATGTGCTACAAACACAAAGCATGTGAACAGTCAGTCATGCACAGACTGGGCTTCCTGCCACAACACCTTGCACTCACACTATTTAACCTGACAAAGCTAAATGGAACCTTCACAGAACTATAGCTGACATGTTTGACAAAGGAAGAGACAAAAGTGGAAAATAGAACTTTAAGTCTTCAAAGCTATCACTGTATTTCTGACGATGCTTATTCCCAGCCATTCTCTCGCCCGTTCATGTCATTTCCATTGCAGCCTCACAAATTGCAGCTATGCTCTCTGAACAGACAAGTTGTTCTATTTCAATTGGCCTGCACTACACTGGCGGGCTAGCTCGTGCATTTTGCCTCCCATCGCTCTCCGACACAATGTTTTTCAAAGCATCCACAGAAGTCGGTTGATAGTGTCAGCGTTGCAATTTCATCAATATCAAACTGGGGCTTGAAAAAGAAAATCCCCAGAATTTTCCTCTATAAACACTCCTTTCCTTTTGCAATTTGTCTGCATTAATGTCATCATCTTATGTTTAGCTCATCCACTCATCATCAGCCTCATGTTGCATTTCTACTCCTGTTATACAGTATGAACAAAGATGATATTCATTAGCTGCTATACTATATGAAACAAACAGCTATGCAAACTGCAGATGTTTGGCAGGTTTAATGTTTACTAAGTTCAGCAAGCTATCATCTGGTAATTATCACTATGCACAAAGTACAGCTGAGGCTGAGGAGAGTGTCAGTGCCTCAGCCAAGGAGGTTATGTTTTCATCTGCATTAGTTTGCAGGTTGTTAGCAGGATAACACAGAAACTTCTTAACTGGTTTCCATAAAATTTTGTGGAGGAGTGAGGCATGACCCAAGGAGGAACTCATTAAATTGTGGTGCAGATCGGGATCAGGAGAGAGATCCACAACTTTTTTTCCCCCAGTGGAGCTCAGTGTGGGTCTGAAAGCAGCTTTAGCTTTGAGGGTATTTGGCCATAAACAGAAGTGTGGGGTGAATGTTAACGAATCACCTATATCTATATCATCCTCTGAATATTCAAATGATGTCCCTTCAGCTAAATATTGGAAAATGTGTCTACATGAGTGAAATATTAGCACGAGGGTGGCGATTATTTTGTGAAGGATGGCAAAAGACTGCTAAGTGCTTTGAGTGGTAATCAAGAATAGAAAAGCACAACGTACATAAAGACCATTTACTGCTGACCCTTAGTTAACTTGCACATGACAAATGAGAACTTGAACTCAATTTTATCTCAATCAATGCAAACGCTATTGAGATATTTATGTCGGGACAAAAGCAGTGGGTGGACCAATTAACAATGCCTTCATGATAGCAACACCACTAGCTAAATTGGAGTAATAATAATAATATTGATAGCATATACAGAGGATGCACATTTATAGTACATGTAGCAACCTCTATACCTCAGGTACTGGAGGTGGAATGAGGAATAGGACTAGTGAGACAGGGGAGAAAACTAAACATGCTACCATTGCAAAAATAAATGAGCTGCTGTATCCATTAGATAACAGTCTACCGAGATGCTAAAATGCTAATTCTTGTACTCCGAAAGTCCCTGAAAAATTGCAGAATGATTTAATTTTCTTGTTATTGAATTCAGTAGACTATGGCAGAATGGGTGACTTTACCTGGAAGACAATCGCTCTGTAGTTTCCTTGTGCCACCCTTTATTAACTTGCATTCACTGAACAAAAACCCCGTTGAATGGAGCTCTGTGCACTAAAGCAAATCATTTTGGCAGTTCTCTAGACAAATATGTTTGAAAAGCACCAGCAATAAATCACTGCTTTCTACTCAGAGGGCAAGCATAAATATCCACTAAACACATTTTAATGACTGGCACACTCATGGCTTAGTGATTGCCATTAAGGGGAGTCATTAGGAAGTAAAGAAAACCAGCCCTCTATTTAATGAACAAATGAAGCCGACAGATGTTTTGGATTTACTAACCACTTTTACAGATAAATGTTTCACTGCAGTTTGTGCTTTTATGTCAACCCCCAGTAGTAATTGTTTAGGGAAAAAAAAACATTCACTGCCTGTTGCTGCACCACAAATTTCCTTTTGGGTTTTGTTAAGACGGCCCGTGACCTACTGCCTACAGTTTCCTTCAGAAGGAAGCTCGATCTCGGGGCGTTTGTCTGCGAGCATGACAAGCAGAGGAGTATTGTAAATCTCTGCCACTGCTGCAACCCTTCTCAACCTTTCTCCTGCAGCAATGAATTCCTCCCAGCTTATTTTTAATTCAGTCAACCGCACTGTAGCCACTACATGCATATAAAAACTGTGGAGCGTTCCTGCATGGAGAATACAGCTCCATGGCTCCCCCCGCTGCAGCACTGGGCTAACTGCAGAGCCAGGCTGCAGTGGAAAAAAACCAGTGAAAGGAAGTCAGATAATATTTGGACTGGAACAGACTATTGAAAAGGGAAAAGGGTGTGTGTGAGAGACAGAGAGAGCAGTAAGCCAGGGAGGGGTAGAGAGTGCGAGAGGGGACCCACAGGGAAACAGGGGAAGACAAAGAAGACGAGTGGGTGGCTGAGAGCACATGAAAGAGGATTGAAAACTGAGATGTAATGTTGCAACAGAGTCTGTGTGAGCAAGCAAGAAGGCCAGAGATGCTACATTCTTTGTTTTTCCAAATGTCTCTGGGAGCTCACACACGTGTACGCATCCAGGGCCAAAAAATGGCTGTACTCACGTTGGATCGCACGGAAACGAGGGCCAAAGGAGGGCGAGGAGCCTGAACCCAGATCAGGAGAGTTGCGCCTCTTCTCCAGGCCAGGGGATGCTTGCACTGTAATCTTATGGATGAAATCTGCAACAAAAACAAACACACACATATTTATATAAATATATATATATATATGTCGACGTGACCTTGGACTGGACAGTGAACCCCAAATTGCCTGAGCTGTATCGCCGTTACATACAAGTTTTGAGAGTTGCTGTATGAATGTGTGTTTGGAAGGGCGGTTGTGCCTCGTAGTGTAAAGCACTTTGAGTGTCCGTTGTCAAGAAAAGAGCTATTTAGAGGCCATCCATTTTACCATTCCATTTACACACAAGTCTGGGTTTCCTCGCTCGACTTCACATTCATACACGCCAAAGAGCTGTCAGCTGTTTTGAAGGTTGCAACACTTGTGTTTAGCTTCCTTATTTCTCAAAAAAAAAAAAGCCTGTGACTGACTGTCACAGTAGTTTCAGAGTTTCTCAGGAGATTCAAAGCAATATATGTTCTCATCTGAAATGTTTGAGACGTAAAAATGTGCTGTGTAAGAAGATTGCAGTATCCTTACGTTACATGGCTAATAAAACGAGCCACCACAGCCACACACCAACGTTGCTATCTCTCTATTTCAAGTATAAATAATTCGTTTCTTTGTATATTTACCCGCTATATAACCATGACTGAGTCAAATTTGCAATGCTACAGAAAAGCCTCAGTGTCTTTTATCCTCGAATTTTCATCCTTTCCATTTCTTTTCCTGGTTCTTATTTTTTCACTCTAGCCTTTTAGGACAGCCTTGAGAGCATACCACTCTGCACATCGCTACAAATACTGTCTGTGTATGTGAGCAAATAAAAACGATTTAAAATCCTAATTCCTGAAAAAAGAACCATCTGGTCACGTTCTTATTAATTTCAACTTTTGATAAAGATGTGAGATAAACTATTACTCCACAGGGTGTAAAGAGCAATATCAACACAGGATGAAGGAAAATAATGATAATCATTGGTGTAAAGAGGAAAGGAAAAAAGGAAAGGTCAGAAAGAGAATAAAAACACTTGGAAGAAGAAGAACAGGAGGAAAGGGGGACATCTAAATAGAACAAGGTTGAGAGAGAACAAGAGAGAGAGAGACAGTGAGAGGGAGACATAGAATGAGAGCATGAAAATGAGAGAGGCCAGCAACCTATCCATGGACAGGAAGTGTTGAGGCGTGGTTGGCTCACTCTCCCCTCTCATCAAACCCCCACCACCACATCACTGCACTGCTGCTGCTGGGAAAGGCCTAACCACAACACACACAGACACACACACACACAGACACACAGACACACACATTCACGCATGCTTGCTCAGCCCAAAATACACTCGCACACACTGAACCCCAGTGGATGTGAACTGCAGCGGCCCACGTGACTTTGGGATAGTAGAGGATACATAAGGAGCAGCAGCCAGATGAGTGGGACAGGAAAAAAAAAAAGCAGCAACAAGTGGGTCAGTGCAGATATAGCATCAGCAAGTCAGACCTGTGAGATCAATGCTTTAGTATCGTCTTTGTCAAAACCATGGTGATGTTTTAGGGGCTTTTTCAGAATAAAGTGAAAGAAAACCTTTTGAAGAGCTGTTGCTTTTTTTGTGATGAAAATAGAAGGAAACTATTTCAAAGTTATTACATATATGCAGCGTTCTGTTCAAGTATCAGGAGTCCAGCCCTGATATGAACCTGCAGCCAAGCAGAGCTACAAAACAATTGTATTACAGGACACCCTCCCCTCACACACACACCCTCCCCTCACACACACACACACACACACACACACACACACACACACACACACACACACACCCACACACACACACACACACACACACACACACACACACACACACACACACACACACACACACACACACACACACACACACACACTTCCTCTTCACTGCTCTCTTGCATTTTTTTTTTTACTTTTGTTGTTGTTTTTATTGCTTGTTGAGACTGAGCCAGTAATGGCTCTAGGAATGGGATTTCTCGTCAAGACTGCAGGCTGACACAATCTTTGTTTGTGACTGAACAAATCAAAGACACTTCAAACACACACACACAGACACACACCTTGGGGCATGCTGATCTTCTCGCCGTTCTTGCTCTTGAGCTTGTGCTTCTTGAAGGTGCCCTTCCTCTTCTTGACGTTGGGCTTCTCCTGGTTCTGGTTCAGGTGGTGGATGAGGAGGCTGAGTTCGCGCTCGAACACGTCCTGCTCCCACTGGGCCAGCTGCTGCTCGCGCTGCCGCAGGAACTCTTCATGGGACTTCTGCTCCAGAGCCGCCCGCTTCAGCTCCTCCTCGCGGCACCGCAGCTCCTGATGGAGGAGGAAGGAGGTGTTTAATATCAGCGAGTCCCAATCATGCACGACTGAAGTTACGCAGGTTTAAAGTCTTATCTCCTCCTGGGTGACAGTGAAGTTGATTGCAGTGAAACCTGGCAAGATGACTAACAGCTTCTATTTGACATTTTATTTGATGTCACACAGATTAGTGTTCAGTATATGGACTTCTCCTCCAGGAACCTTACATAAGATACTGTTCCAACCAAATAAAAACAAAGATAAAAGGGAAATGAACATCCAAAACTAATATGAATGTTTCTTTGATGTGCCGTCGTTGCGGATAAATTACTTCAGGTATGAATGTAAATGTGTATCGGTGGCAAATATTGCTCATTTAGTTGTATATTTATCTAGTGATTACATTGCTTCACAGTTTGATATTAGTACATTTATGACTTCTTTAGGTAAAACTGCAGAGATAATAAACTCCCATGATACTGTATGATATTTGTATGGATTTATCTAATAAAGGTAGGGTTGGTGATTTGTTTCTAAAACACTTCATGTCCCAATAGCCATTAATAAATAAAGTCGTCTAAAATAAAAGAAAAAATGCCAGTGTCTGTGGCCCTCGCAATCGGTCTGAATGAAAAGACTGGTCAGGGTTCCTGTCTATCACTAACCAACCTGCCTGCCTGCATGCATGCACCCTGCCCGTGCACTCACTGAGCATGACCAGAGTCTTCAGCCAGAGAGAAGATAGCGAGAGAGTCAAGATAAGTCGGCTTCTAGCAGTAATAGAGAATTCTGGGTAGCTGAATGGACAGCAAGGATCACTTGAGAAAAAGAAGTATGCGAATGGTTTGCTCAGTGCCGTGTACCTTCTCTTTAGCCCGGAGCTCATCAAACATGTCCTGGATCTCCAGTTTCCAGTCCTCCTGCAGGGAGTGGAAGGAGTCCTGTGGCATCTCTTCCTTCACCTGCCTCTCCAGCGCCATCAGCTGGGCCAGGATGGAGCTGAAATTGGGTCTCCGGTGGGGGTCCTGGTCCCAGCACTCTGTTATGTATAGAGCAGGAACAGTCAGACAGCTGGTTCTACACCACACAGATGTAATCTTAGGCTTATTATGTGTACACAAGCTGCCAAAGTGAAGAAAAACAGGTATTAAGGAGTTTTATGTTGGAACAACTCTAATCCGTCTTTGTCCTTAAATTACTATAAGTTTTATTTAGTTTGTACCGAGTGGTAAAATCTTGTTTCCTCAAAACAAATGGAAAATCTTGTCCACAACAGTTTCACTTCTTCGGAGATTTGTCTTGAATCAAGGGTCGTGAAAGAAGGAAGTCACTCAGTGATTCACCATAGTAGTCACACACACACACTGATCTTCACTGTAAAAAAGACCAATTCTATCACCCAGATGAATGTGAAGCCTTAAAATCAGGCCAGATGACGAACTGAGTTGGTTATTTATGTTAATTGAATGAATATTCTGCAGCAACACTTGTCGTTTTTATTTTCACATATATCAGACATGAGCATGAGCCTGTGTGAACATCTGGAGTCAGGTTGATCGCTTATTCAAAGTGTTACGCTTTATTAACTGGCTGTGGGGGGTTGCGCATAATTTGCTGCAACACTTGGGGCCGTACAAGCAGATCAAAAGCCAATCCAATAATTAATGAATCCTCTGAGGTGGCTATCGGTGGTTTGTGTGCACTGATCTCCTTTATGAATACTGTGGTAGAAATACAAGCTGACATCAAGACAAGAGGCTAAGTGGAAAGATTGTGAACTGCGTCTGCTTCAAAGCAAACGTACGTTTGGTACAAAGCAGTTAACATGTTAGAAAGCACCCAGGTGACATTTCTTTTTAACTTGAAACTAAACAAAGGAAGAGCATAAACTGTTACAAACACGCTGGTGGCTCCAGCACAACACACTTCCCCTGCACAGCCGAGTTATTAACATACAGGAATTTGTTTTCTCAATTTCAGCCCAGCTTTGGGGAAATGGAAAGAGAGCATGCCAGGGACACCAATGAACACACGCGAGCGGACTCGCACACCATTGAACTGAAAGCAGCAGTGGCACGAGGGCATCCAGTTACATTGGTACACATGCGAAGGTGAGCCCCCCACCTGACATGAGCTGAGCAAAGGGTTCCGGGCACGTGGAAGGGATGGGCAGCGTGAGCTTGTTGACGGCGACTCCGTAGGCAACAGCGAGTCCGTCAATCCCTTTGTACGGTGCCTCTCCTGTAAGCAGCTCCCACAGCAGGACACCATAGCTGGAGGGGGAAAACACACACCGCAAGGCATGAGACAGTGCACTCAGACTAAAATTAGACACAGTGTATATATTTCACAACAAGCCTCATTATCCAGTATTTTGCAACACATCTGCTCTGAATTATTTGGAATTTTAAACATGTCGTGATACACTGACAATTATTTTAATCAAGCTGCTGCAGTATCACTATACTAAACAGGATTTTCATATCAGAAGTCTTTGTTACAATGCCCATTCGTGTTTAAAATACTTTCTTGACCACTGCAATATGGGAATGTTTTCATATCCATGAGCTGTTATAAATACATACTTCCTGTAGCTGCTTCACTGAAAAGGCCTTCCAGTAAATAGAATCATGGCCCATCATGGGTTTTTACTGCCAGATCAGCTCAATAAGTCTTATTACCAGCACCAGGATTATCTGAAATCTAGTTTAGTCCACATGTTGCTTGAAGACCATTCAACTCAATGTTCAAATTTTGAACATACTGAGTATACTACACATCTGAGTTGTTAAGGAATCTCTGTGTTTTTTTTTCTTCCTGTTTTTTTATTCTGTCCCCCAGTGAACAGCAGTTCGGGCTGTGTGCAGTTGACACTTATTTGCATATATATACACATATACATATATATACGTGTGTGTGTGTGTGTGTGTGTGTGGATTTTAAAAGATAACAGCTCATCTATTTGTGAATTGGCACAACTTCACACACTTACTCATCTATGGAGTTTAGATACTTTGTTCCATTATGAATTGTAAAGTTTAATATTAATTCCACTTCTTGCCTTCTGCTCCACATTAAGTCTTACATATTCATTATCATAGCAATGACGGAACAGAACCAAGACGCATCAGTGCCCTGGAATATTTTTGCATGATGAAGCACGTGCTGGCAAAGCCGTGTGAGTTATTGCATGCAGAACCTCAACAAACGCAAAGTACACACATACACACACACGCAGACAAAAAAATGGGACTTTGGAGGCCACACAATGGGAGCAGCCCTGTGTCCTAAGACATAGAAGCTTGGTGCAGGACTTGGATCTCCCACAGTGTCAATTAGCCCTCGCCCAGACCTGACCGAACGCACTGTGGAGGCTCGCTAAGTGGAGAGCGCAGGCCGCAGCCCTTTTTTATTTAGTTCTTTAATTACAACTTCCACACACTGTGACTGTGCAGAAACGTTGCTCGCCGGCTCGCCCCGAGGCGGTCTTCTTCTCCGCGTGGCAGCTCTGGAAACGAGCGGCCGTGGACAAATGAGAAAGAATGGTAGAACAAAGATGACCCTTCATTTTTCAGAGCAGGGCCGCCCGCCCGCCTGCTACCTGCTCATTTCGCCGTTCTCCAGATTGTGCAGTGATTGCTGTGAAAACGATGTGGCGTGGGTTTGTTGTCGAGAGAAGAGGGAGATGGAAAGTGAGAGAATGTACATGTGAGATAGTGAGAGAGCAAAGAGCCCATTAAAAAAGTAAAAAAGAAACTACTACACACTTTCACAAAATAGGGTTCTTTCAAGTACCAGAAAAATCCTTAAGTGGCTTGTACCAGAGCAGAATCTTTTTTGGTGTTCTCAAGGACGCTTTCAAAGAGGTTCTCTGCCACAGCATGCTCAATTGGCTTCACATAGACTCTGTAAGTGTGCAAAGATCCTTTTACGAATGGATGATATGGTCCAAATCCACAGGATTAAAATTAAACCCTGGCATATGAGTAACTGCCATAACCACAATGCAGCAAAGCTGTGAAAGCATTATTGCTTTAATTCATGATTTATATATTTCCCTGTTGCTGAGTAAGAACGGCTCGGCTCACTTCATTCCAAATGCAAATTCACATACAGTGCTTAGAAGCCGTCTCCAATCCCCTCTCAACAAATCACAGTTGCGTCGGTCGTTATTATGAAACCACAGACAGTAATTGAGGGACTCTTCTCACTCTGTGTAGATGTGGCCAAAAACACAGACAGATATGAGCGTGTGCACGCACACGCACACACACACACACACACACACACACACACACACACACACACACACACACACACACACACACACAAACTATTCCCAGATAAAAAGCTGTGGTGTGGTCTGGTGTGTGGCCTCCTTCTCTGTCTATGCCGGAGACAATGGGACAGTGTGCAGCACACATGTCCCACAACAAAGCACAGAGCATGTCTTTGAAGAGACGCCTATCACATGGCTGCGGCGGCCCTGCTGCAATCCATCACTCGGTCCCTGCATCTCTTCATCACCCCACCCCCCACCCCCGCCCCCCAATCCTCACTTCTCTGCACTTTCACCCTTTCCCCACTTATTTAAAGAACTGCAGATAATAAGCAGACGATATTGAATGTACATAATTCAATGGTGCGTTTTTATGAAGTTTAGAACTTCCCATATCTTTTTTAACATTTAATACCAAAACATCCTGCATTATTCACAAACTTTGTAAATCCCATTTAATCAGAGATGTCTGTCACCTTAGAAACTCTAATATAATCAGCTAGCAACTTTCATCTGACTATTAAAGATCAGTTTTCAAATGTCAGGAGGCAAATTTCTGCTTTGGTGACGTCAGAATGTGGCTGTTATGAAGCAAAACTGTGACCTTTTGGTTAAAAGATGTCACAAGATAATGTGAGAATAGTAGCTCTCGAGACTAATCTACCTGCCTACAGGCCCTCGCTTTAAATCCTGGATTTGGTTCAGCGGAATTCCATTGTAAATTACATGGCAGCTAAATATCGCTGAGCTTCACACGCGCACAAACAAGCACTCACCTCCAGACGTCGCTGCCCTTGGAGAAGGTGGAAGCCTTGATGACCTCCGGGGCCATCCAGGCATAGGTGCCGGCGGTGCTCATCTTGGTGGTCTTATGCCACTCCCTCGCCAGGCCAAAGTCGGTGATCTTCAATGTCAAACCCTCCATGCACTCATTCTCTATGGGCTGGGCCAGGAGAACTGCAGGGAGGATGGAAGTAAAAATATATAATCAGTGATTAGAAACAAAAGAAAATGCATCCCTACATAAAAGTTTACACTTAGTTTTAAACTAAAGACACACATTCTCCATTTCTCTCTCACTTCCTCTTCCTCCTCTTTGTAGGCGGCTCCAATCCTAACTAACAGTGGCAAACACTTACAAGTATCCTGTGGCACAGTTCACTCACAATAGATTTATCAGGCAGCTCTTTCCCTTTAAATGGCTGAGGGTATCATTTACAGGTGTTTGGCAGCACGGTCATAAAACTAATGTGTTTTTTCCTACTGTGGATAGCGTGGTTTAGCAGGAACCACCCTCAGCTGAGCTGCGTCATCAGCGAACTAGCTCAACATGTCAGTCACACTAGCAAATAGATCATTGCTCTTTATCATTGTATTATTGGTTTGTTTGGGGTTGTTTGTTCCACCAATTATTATTTAATTAGTTCATTATTATCTTTAAAGGCAGCATCTCCTTTCCATGGCTACTTTTGGAGCTGTGCAGTGAGACTTCGCTTCTCATGCTGCTGCTTCACAGTAAATGTTTTACACCACTAAAGCCACTAAAGCTCAATACAAAAAACTATGTAAAAATAAGATTCATATTATTTGACATATAAAAAAGATTATTGTAGTTTTTTGGACTTGTTGTTCTGCAACATACCCCCAAAAGACCATATTATGTGAATATTTCAAATTTTATTTTAAATGAAACAAAATAAGGAAACAGTAATGAACAGTGAGCTGATAAGATGAAGGCAAGATACTTATTGCGTGATACTTATGTGAGGGAATTCAAACCTCCGACACATGACGGAGATACCCAGCAACACTTATCTTGCTGCCCGGTCGTATGAAAAAATACCCGCACTGCACCTGCGTCACAAGCTCCGATCACAGATCCTACATGTATGAGTCGTATGTATTGGTTCATGATATGAATCAGACCTTTTCTTATTTAAATCTTACATAACCTTTTCTGGTGAAGGGTGTGATGTTATTTGTGTCGCTGGAAAATGCAAAGCTCTGTGTACTCACTGCTTGATTTCTTTAAAGTCAGTTTAACAAAAAGTTTGATCTCAAGTTGAAATATTTGAGACAGATTTTTTTTTTTTTAAAGTCACACAGCTTCTTTTGACAGTAGGCACACAGCGCGTCACACAGAGCAGCACTGAGAGTACAGAACTGATCATTCATATTTTCTGAGCAGAGTGGCCTCACAGAGATATACTGTGCAGTCTAACACGCCCTCAAATTAAAACTGTGTCAAACTAAAGACCCAAAGCAACAAACAAAACCAACCCAGTTAATAAAGTGTGTCAGAGTGAGAAAAATATATATTTAAGCCACGTTAAATTCTTATGTCAGAGGCCGTTCTCAAAAAGACACTACACTAATGCAGAAGAAGAAAAGGTGAATAAAACCTTCAAGTGTTTTTTTTAAGTTCATTCAAGATTCATAATGAGACCTCTGCTGATTAAGCCATTTCTGAAGAGATCAGCTAATTTGCTTCAGGTTTTCTCCTGAGACAGGAGGCCTCACCAGGGTTATCTTTCTTAATAAAAATGCTTGTTACACTAACATCAAAATGAACTACAATGGCACTAAGAGCACATTCCTCCACCGAGGCCAAACAGTCCCCTTGTGAGACCAATTATAACAACAATAATAATAATTATAATAATAACTGTATTAGTATAGCACTTATCTAAACCAAGTTACAAAGTGCTTCACAAGAAAAATAATAAAATCCATGGCTAGAAGAAGAATAAATTATTATAAAAGGTATTCAATTCAGTTAAATGTTTTGGGCCACGGAGCAGTTTAACCATCACTTTTGAGCTCTGTAAGACTGGTTGTTGTAATGAAAATAATATCTTCAATTGTACGTTGGTGTCATTAAGTGTTTCAGCCTATTAAACACAATAACGTTGGGAGAGGCTAAAGGTAAATCTGACTGGCTACTGGCTTGTATGGCAGTGCTATGAAATCCATGTGGCCCGCTCAGTAGATCAGACATCATTACCTGTGTGACTTTTTTATTCTATCTATTTATCTTTAAACTAGATTAAACTAAATACCTACTCATAGGTATCAGAGTCATACATTTACTGGATCCTGATTTGAATTGGGATCTGCACAAAATCACACAAAAAAAAGATACACTGATTATTCCCTGGAAAAACTTAAAATACTGAAAAAACGCGAAATCTTACAATGTAAAAAAGTTAAATAAAAATTCATGGATGCGCCCTCGATCACTGTTTGTGTTCTGTTAGGATAAATGTTCAACTTCTGTCATAAAAGAAACAAGTCGGACTGTGAACAGAGTGAAGTGAACAAAAGATGGAGTCCAGATATCCACTGTCTACACCGGACGCCCCAAAATATTGGCTTTAAGTGACTCAATGAAAATACATTTGCAGGTTAAAGCTGGGCATTATCTCGTTTCATGGTAGATGTGTATTAAAATATATATTGTGACACAGATACTAACTGTGAATTCAACATGTTACTGGTATTACTGCATGTGACCTGCATTCTTCTCTAAAATTTAAAAAACTTGAATCAAGTCATTTTTTTTACCCACAATTCACCAAAATCATTTTTTGCAGATTTTTGCATTTAAACACAAATGTGCTTTTTTGATCAACGACATGATGATTCCAGGATTCAGTAAAAAAACAAAACACAATCAGTAAGTGGATTTACTTGGGATTATTACATGACAGCAGGTCAGATATGGAATGCTGGTGTCCAAGTATTGGTCACATACAGTCAGTTTGTAAACAAGGATGTGAATAGAGAAATCCAAGATGAGATAACTACACATTGGAAAAGATAGATGATAGAGAGATACTTTATTGATCCGGAGGGGAAATGTAATAACCTATGAGTAAAACATATTTTGGTAACCAGCCAGTGCTATGCAGCCACACAGCAAGGGAAAGTTCTCTAGGCAAGTTTCTATGAGAACAGAATATAATGCCAAGGATGTCGGTCGCTGTGGTGTGATTATGTATCACATGTCGCAGTATGATCGGCAGCTGTGCCTCTCTTCCCCTTTGCTGGCAGACTGGGCACTGTTCAGGGCAAGGCTGGCCGTCAAACTCAGGGAGGAGAAGCAGCAAAGAATTTGTCTTATTATAGGGAAGTAAGACTCCTGCTATTTGCAGTCACTTTCTGAGCGTGCCGCTTTATTCCTTTCATTCCTCCTTTTGACGGAGTCTTTCGCAAAAAATAAAGAATATGAATTTTATTTTGGCCTCCATGTATAAAGGGCTCGCTCTCTTTGTTGTCTCTGTCTCTCTCTCAGACATCCTGTGTTGTGCCTCGGAGCCCAGAGGCAGCGAGTTTGACGTCACAAAGGAATGCATCACAAGAGGTTGTGTTGTCTGCTATGTGAGTGTGTGTACGTTGATTGGGTGGGAGACTTGGCTCTTTGCTCATGTATTTGAATAAGGACTTTTGCACCCAGTCTTTCTAAACCTACACACAGACACCTTCAGTGGAAAACGCACTTTGTCCATTCTGTCTCTCCAATGGTGACAGGCCTCTTCTTAAATGGGGGAAAGAACTGCATTAAGGTATGTCCATCACAAACTGTCACATCGACTTCTGCCTCAAGAAGAAGGCCCAACCAATAAAATCGCAAAAGTAGCCAATGGCCAGAACAAAAACAAGCTCTACAGTGCGCAAAAAAAGTGCCTACTCATTTCTGCAGAAAATCAATTTCTGTCCATTCTACAGCTGAGTCATTGTTTCTGTCAGGGGAGGGGGTGTGTCGGGGGGAGTGGGGGCAGTATTTACTGCAACAGGCCCTGAACCCTTGCTCCACTTTTTTTTTTTCCTGTTGGTCAACGATTGGTAAAAACAAGTCCACGGTCAGTCACCCCTATTTCCACCTGGGTGCTCACACATTGTGTCGTGACCTCACTTCCAGGAAGTGACGCCGGTATCAGCTGATTACCCAGAAAAAAAACACAGGAGCCCATTTGTTCCTGCTCACCGTTCATTGTGCACATTAAGGACTGCACCTATTTTAGGAAACTGAGGTTAAGAGGGGTCACCTGGCTCCCAATACCGACAGTGACAGACAGGAGCGAAGCGGTGCTGTGGTAAAGCGAGCTGAGGTGACAGAGAGAGAGAGAAAGAGGTGCCGAATGTTGATCGGTATCATATGATTGAGTGAGACAGGGCGCAGCTAAAAGTGTCTGTCTGGGCTTAGAAAGCAGAATTATAGATAATGGTGCACACACACACACACACACACAAAGCATTCATTCTACATGGGCAAACAGACACTCAACACAGAACATGCTCACATTCTGTCAATTTTCTTAGTTGTAAAGTGTGAGAAATCTCTGCTCTAAGACACAAACACACACAGACACACACACAGAAGAGCAAGCAGCTGAAGGACACACATGAATACACAACAGTGACATACTTTACCCAAACACACACACATTAAAGGTGTAGGTCATTTCCCAGGGTTATAGGTGTGCTCCAAGATGGGTCATCTGATACTAGATTATTTATCACGTGATCACAGTGTGTATATATATATATATATATTCTAAGCATATATGTGTTCTCTTTGATACGAAATCCGGTGAGCCATTGTTGACAAGTAAGTCTGACTTGAAGAAAATCAAGTCTGACCTTTGACCTTCCTCTGTCTATGTACAGTTCAGAGATATTTGCTGCATGATGTAACTATTTCTTGGCAAAAAAACATCTGGGCACATCAACTCTAATAACAAACATAAAAACGGACAAACTGACTAATAGACAGAAAGGTATCCATCCTGTGATAATAATATGTTTAAGTAGAGAGGCATGCTGGGAAAATAACATCACAGTAACTGGCCTCAGGCCTATTTTACACCAGTACATGCACCCACACTCACAGGGAAAGATTGACTGTAGAGGCCAACAGGCACATGCACAACATGGTTCTGACACATACTGTATAT